GTATTAGTTTTTACTTATTACTAACATATGATACCTTTTATACTATGTACCTGTTTTGTCTAATAATTGATTAAAGTAAGTAATTAAGAATTACTCATTGTTTTATTCCTAAAACCAACATCTACCAGCTGACAGAGGTAAAACCTAGCATATACTGAATTCGAATGGTAAAAGCTCGAAAAAATCGTCGTATTTTCAGAAATACTTACATTTACCAACTGATGTCGGTAAATCCTAAGACTTACACTTAAATCTTAAGATTAACCATAGTTCGAGCTTTTACAGTAACATATATACCATTTTAATCAGAATTTTTTTCTCTATCGAGCTGTATATTCGAAATATTGAAATTCGCAAAAAAAAATTTTATACGCCCCAAAAAACTATAGCCTAAAATATAAATAAATACCTTATAAACAGTGTACAAACCCAACGCTTGTTTTTGGTATTTTTGCTAACATGTATCAACCATACATTTTTTTAAGCCAGGACGTAAAACACTCTCGTAATTGAAAATGGCTTTTACGCCTAAAGACATGGCGTTTTATGTCCAGATTCGACGTCGTAAGTCCACGTATTCAATATGGTAATTATCTGTTTCATATTCATATTCATTTATTTATTTCTACTTTTAAGAAAGTTGATTGTTTCTACTTTTAAAGATAATAACTAGATATATAAGATTGCTTTCCAGGTCCAGTACACCGTGAATAGGGATGATGACTGGGTCATGAAATCGAAATTCTATTTAGTCCGTCAGACAGAGAATTAGAAAATTTAAACCCCATATTTCCCATAATCGAAGAATTACAGTATTATATTGAGTTGAAATGTCGCGTGACGTCACTTTTGAGTAAAAATTATACACAAGCGTGACGTATCGCGCCATTTCAACTCGATGTAGCACTGTTATTATTAAATTATGAAAGAAAATAAAAAATATGAGTCTCATATTTTCCAATTATCTGTTTTAAGGACAAATAATTGAAATTTTGTCATCTAGCCTATTGATCTTGACTAAAATAATGTGATGAATTCAAGACTTTTAAACAAAAAAAAACAAGCCATAGTGTGCTCATGAAGGCTATTTATACCCTTTTGAGATGCTCTGTAATAGTTTGTTACTTTACAAGTACTCCCAACTTTTATTTGTTGCCAGTAGTGGTTACTTTTAGCTGTAATTTAAATTTGGGTTTCTTGTAAAGATATAAATTCCTTAGAGAAATTCTCAAAAAATTACAAATCCTTCGCCTGAGCATACTGGGGCTCTTCTCTTTATGCAAAATTTATCATAACCAAACGAAATCAATATGCGTCAGCAGAGAACCAGGAAAGCTGTCTTAATGTTTTGCTGTAAAGGTATTTTTTGTTCAAAATTTATGGTGATTAGTTTTGTTTACAATTATTAGAAATATTATTTGTTTTGCCATAATTTTCCTGCAAAATTGTAAAAAAAAAATGTTATTTTTCGTATGCAAGCAAATTTATTATTTCTACCTCAACCAAATATAGTTTACACTGTTAAATATCTTTGTGCAAATTCTCTAAACAACAAAAGCCTAGAAATAGTAAACAATACATTATTTACATACATAGTTTAAATAATACATTTGAATTAATCACTTTATCAATGGGTATATAAACCAAAAAAAATAATTCTCTAAACAACAAAAGCCTAGAAATAGTAAACAATACATTATTTACATACATAGTTTTAATAATACATTTGAATTAATCACTTTATCAATGGGTATATAAACCAAAAAAAATACATCTAATGGTCTTTAAGCCATCAATTTCAGTCTCGTGTTTAGAAAAAATTCAAATACGACGTAAAGAGTTATTTTTAGGTCAAATATAATGGGTCGTATAAACCACCGAGTGCCTTTTTCAACGACGTAACTCCAAGCTAACTTTAAAACTACTGAAGATGCCCATTTTTTTAAATATTTAGACTTTTTCATCGCATAAATTGAAAAATGTTTTCTCTTGGACATTTTTTTATAACTTCTCAAATAAAAAAGTTACGATTTTTTTATTAAAAAAAAAAACGTTTTTTGGCTCTCCTGAAAATTAGGGTTTTGGTTTATACGACAATTGAACCTGAAGGTATCGATATCATTTTCGCCATTACACAATGGCCTAAAAAATCATGATTCTACCATGCCACACTAATCTAAGCTGCTAACTTCCGCCCGATTCCCATATTCAATCCATGTCCAAATCTGGATTACAACTGTCAAATTGAATTCAGTTTTAGATTATATATCCAAAATTTTCGATGCATTTATACTTTAATATTGTTTATATAGTCTTATAAACAATATAAAAATGTGAAAACATCAAAAACCGCAGTTATTTTGGCCAAAAACATATTAAAATTTGACAGTTGACAATCCAAATCCGTATAATTTGGATTAGGATTGAATATAGAAATCCAGCATAAGAGACTTGGAGACAGAATTGATGCGGTCTGCAAAGTCAATGCCATTGCCATTTCCTTTTTTAGGGTTCCGTACTCCAGACAAGGAACCCTTATTGGCACTAGAGCTGTAATTTTGTAGAGGTATGTATGTATATTATACAAAAGGGTAAAATAAAATTTTGAAAAAATTATTTTTAGGTTTGCTCCCCTACTTGTAAAGTGTTTGTGTCATTTTTTTTCGTCATCTATCCTATCATGTGGGGTATCGTTGGATAGGTCTTATAAATTGGCTTAGGGGTTTCATAAACCATTTTTCGATTTAGGGATCCATTTGCAAAATGTTTAAGTTTAAAGTGCCAATTTTTGTTCGAGTAGGGCGTCCCTCCCTCCCTCTAAAAACTAAACTGATTGCTTGAAAAATATTGTGGTAACGACGGACAAAACCCTACAATGCGCGTAGCACGACACGCACTTGGCCAATTTTTCTCAATAGTATTGATACGAGGCGTATTGTATTACCTGTACCTGCAGGAGCTTGTATAGGAGCTCCTGCGGGATGTGCGGCTGCTGCTGCTGCTGCTGCTGCTGGGCCTTTTGCTGCTCCATGCTCTTGTTCAACATCTGCAGAACAATGGGACATGACAATTCATTCATTAAGCAAATTGGGTCTATAGTCCGGTCACCGAGCACGTAGAACTTCGTCCAATGACCCCGAGCTATCCATCCTTATCGCTCGCGCGTAATTATATTGCTGTCGCTACTGTGCGACGGGCGGCCGCAGTGAGTGTGCGAGCGCGACAGCAATATAATTACGAGCGAGCCATAAGGATGGGTAGCTCGGGGTCATTGGACGAATTTCTACGTGCTCGGCGACCCTTTAGTTGACAACAATTTAGTTATTGTAAATGCAATTTTCAACAAATATTTGTAGTTTTAAGTGGAGAACATGTAGTTTAACTAAGTCATACCTGCAACAGGCTCATGGGCTGCGGCTGCGGCGGAGGATGGCGCTCCGGCGCCGCCGGCACCGCGTGTCCTCCAGACACTTGCGCCAGCTGGAAACAAACGAAGTATTATTGCTAGAACTAAGAAACTAATGGATATACTAATACAATTTAAAAATAACCTTAGACCTAATACGAGTAAGTCAAAAGTCACGCGATGCAAAATACGTCTACAACGTCCATGTAATTTCAAGGTTTCTCTCCAAAGGAATTGATGATCGAAAAGGATGCATGTGGGCCTCAAATGATAGTACGCTTTGATTAAACGCTTAAGAGGTTGGAGTGCTCTAAACACTGGCCTCGTGGCCAGTCGATGGCTGAAAACTAGCGTAACGTATTCAATCACAACACTACCTCCAGAACCGTGCTCTAGATGATGTTTGAAGCTCTGCAGCTGGTCATCTATTCTATCACGAAATCTCAGTTCAGAAAGTTCTTTTAGAACGTAGGTGCTCACTAAGAACGGATTTTACGAAACTCCACCCCTAAGGGGTACAACGGGATCCACGCGCACGAAGTCGCGGGCGGCCGCTAGTCCTCTACAAGGTCAACTGCTGAGAACCAGCTCGCACACTCACAGCGGGCGACCGTCGCGACAGCAATATAATAACGCGCGAGCGATAAGAATGGGTAGCTTGGGGTCATTGGACGAATTTCTATCTGCTGCGACCGGACTTCAGATAGTACAATCTATTCACGAGGCGCTTGAAGGCCGCCAGCTGGGGGCGGGTGCTGCGGCCGCTAGTCCTCTACAAGGTCAACTGCTGAGAACCAGCTCGCACACTCACTGCGGCCGCCCGTCGCACAGTCGCGATAGCAATATAATTACGCGCTAGCGTTATTTAAGGATGGGTAGCTTGGTGGGGTCATTGGACGAATTTCTATCTGCTGCGACCGGACTTTGGATGGTACAGTTTACTCACGAGGCGCTTGAAGGCCGCCAGCTGGGGGCGGGTGCTGCGGCCGCTAGTCCTCTACAAGGTCAACTGCTGAGAACCAGCTCGCACACTCACTGCGGCCGCCCGTCGCTTAGTCGCGACAGCAATATAATTACGCGCGAGCGATAAGGATGGGCAGCTTGGTGGGGTCATTGTACGAATTTCTATCTGCTCGGCGACCGGACTTTTAATCTCGTCGGCCGTTTGGTGTAGTGGTTCAGAACGGACTACTATGCCGAGAGGTCCCGGGTTCGATTCCCGGCCGGGCAGAAATTGAAATGATGAATTTTAATTTCTGTGACGGGTCTGGGTGTTTTCTATGTATAATATGTATGTATTTACAAAAAAAAAGTATTTAAGTATGTTTATATCCGTCGTCTAGTACCCATAGTACAAGCTTTGCTTAGTTTGGGACTAGAGGCGCAGTGTAAAATGTTCAAGGATGTTATTATTATCTTTATTAACCTTGGTTCTTAATTTTAAATATTTTTTTACAATGTAAATTATCAAAAAAAAAAAAAAAAATACATTATAAAAAATTACTTAAAAATAGTTATTATTATTATTATTATTATTGTCTACTCACGAGGCGCTTGAAAGCCGCTAGCTCGTGGTCGGCGGGCGCGGGCGCGGCGGGCGGCGGGTGCGCGCGCGGGTGCTGCGGCCTCAAACGCGCTTCCAGTTCTTCCAGGCTCTGCATCTTGCCCGCGTTGGAGCCCACGCCTGAGTTCACGCCCATTCCTGGAAATAATACATGGTTTAGAAAAAAAATAAGGTCGGTTGTGAGAAAATATCAGTCCGAAGGGCCGCTAGGAACTGCTAGGAATCTTTCAATTGCTACAATGAGGGCTATCGGTTTAGCGCTCACCAGTTAGCGCCACTGTAGAGTAAGGTCCTGTCACTTGCTAGTAGCGAAGACAGTGGCACCAACTGGTGAGCGCTAAAGTGGTAGAAGGACTATCGCATTTGCACTCATCAAGATGGCGCCACTGTAGAGTAAGGTCCTGTCAATCGCCAGGGGTGCCAACTGTTAGGTAAAAAAAACAATAGCCCTCATTAGGATAAGATTTCAAACTAGCAGGTGGATAATTTACGCAAGCATTCTCTGCTATGACAGCGTTGACTGGTACAGAGTTATTATTCTTACCATGACATTACAAAAGCGTCTCGCATATGCCGTAGCATTCAGAAACGTGCTACCAATGTTCTTACTGTTACGAATATGACAAATGTTTATCCGCTACAGCTGCAAGTACTCCAGTCAGCAGGCATAATGACCTTGGTGTTCAATATGCGTGTTGAAGTGTGCTACGTACGTTCTTACTGCTACAGATTTTTAAACCCGTACAGCTGAAAGTAATTATGTACTACCGTCAGCAGGTAAGGTGACTGACCTTGGTGCGGCTCTCTCACTGCTACGAACATATTGCTACGGATCTTTTAACTGCTACAGATGCAACTACCGTCAGCAGGTAAGGTGACTGACCTTGGTGCGGCTCTCTCACTGCTACGAACATATTGCTACGGATCTTTTAACTGCTACAGCTGCAACTACCGTCAGTATGTAAGGTGACTAACCTTGGTGCGGCTCAATATGCGCGTTGGCCTGTCGCAACAAGTCCAGCAAGGAAGGCGAGATGAGACCCCCTTACCACGCAGTGGCTTAGTAAGTGGGAGCGTGCTACGGACGTTCTTACTGCTACGAATATGTTGCTACGGATCGTTTAACTGCTACAGCTGCAACTACCGTCAGCAGGTAAAGACTGACCTTGGTGCGGCTCAATATGCGCGTTGGCCTGTCGCAACAAGTCCAGCAAGGAAGGTGAGATGAGATCCCCTTACCACGCAGTGGCTTAGTAAGTGGGAGCGTGCTACGGACGTTCTTACTGCTACGAATATGTTGCTATGGATCGTTTAACTGCTACAGCTGCAAGGACTGAAGTAGGTATAGTGACTAATCTTGGTGTAGTTCAACATGTGCGTTGAAGCGCGCTACGGACGATGTTACTGCTACGAATATTTTGCTACAGATCTTTGAACCGCTACAGCTGTAAGTGTTATGTATTACCGTCAGCAGGTATAGTGACTTACTGCTACGAATATCTTGCTACAGATCTTTGAACCGTTACAGCTGTGTTATAGATGACCCACGCTGAACTGTCCCACCAAACTCAATGACAGGGGGGCGCTACCATCGTTCAACTATATGTATGGTTTCCACAGGTTTCCAACATGGCAAAAATCGATGACTGACCTTGGTGCGGCTCAATATGCGCGTTAGCCTGTCGCAGCAAGTCCAGCAAGGAAAGCGGGCGCGGGTGCGCGGGCGGCGAAATCGGCGCGAACACGTGCGCTTTAGCGCTCGGCGTGCCCGGCGTAGGCCGCACTGGCTCGTCTATAGCTCTTACTACAGCTAGTAACCCGCCCGTACTACGCAGAGGCTTAGTAAGCAGGAGCTTGCTACGAACGTTCTTACTGCTACGAAAACGTTACTACGGATCTTTTAACTGCTACAGCTGCAAGGACTGAAGTAGCTATAGTGACTAACCTTGGTGTAGTTCAACATGTGCGTTGAAGCGCGCTACGGACGATGTTACTGCTACGAATATTTTGCTACAGATCTTTGAACCGTTACAGCTGTGTTACATGCTACCGTTAGTAGGTAAGGTGACTGACCTTGATGCGGTTCAATATGCGCGTTGGCCTGTCGCAGCAAGTCCAGCAAGGAAGGCGGGCGCGGGTGCGCGGGCGGCGAGATCGGCGCGAACACGTGCGCTTCTGCGCTTGGTGTGCCCGGCGTAGGTCGCACAGGCTCGTCCAAGTCTATAGGAAATAACGTTATTGATGTTGATGGATTCTTCATGATTAAAGTGCCCATCTCCGAGATGGGACTGAGACTCAGTGCCAAACAGAATGCATTTCTAGCTCGTGATGATAAAGAGCTTACGCCACATTCTCTTATGGGCTAATTTTTCATTCTTCGGATAACTTTTAACTGAAGAATAAGTTTGACACATTGACAATTTCAGTATGGAAAATATGTCAAAATGACAAGTTTATTCTTCAGTTAAAAGATATCTGACGATTAAAAAATCAGCCCTGTGGCGTATTGTGCCGGTAGCATACTGTAAACCAGAGCGCTAGCGGTACGCGCACTGTTTGGCAAAGCTTGTCGAACTTAAAAAAATACAGCCTGTCAAGTGATAAAACCTTCAGTATTTCCCACAAAATCTTAATTCGATCAAAGATAAAAACGCCACAGATTACTTCAACAAAATATTTTTGGCAATCTGTTTCTTCGATCAGTATTTTTTTTTATTAACCTATTAGAATAACCTGTAAATACATACACAGTTTTAGAAATTCCCTCGCAAAAGGAGCACAAAAAAAATTGTATAGGTTACAAACTCACCGTCAACCATGTTGTGCAGCAATCGCTCGTAGTGGCGCGCGTCGTTAGTGGGGCTTTCGCGGCGGAACCAGCGGCTGAAGCGGCTGCCGCCCTCGGACTCCCCGGTGCCGTTCTACAATATCAACATAAGATAGAATTAATGTCACATTCAAATTCTGATAAAACAACACAGAAATCTAGCAATAAACACGATTGCACACAGTTATTTAGTTAAACATGGGCATCCGCTATGAAAAAGTTTTCCAAAATTTCCCTATAACGGGATGACAAGGGGATCCAAAGTTTAATGCCAGCGAAGGCACCGGCAAAAGCTAGTCCTAGCTATAAAATGATAAAGACAACTATAAAATAATTCGATTTTAAAATAATATTGCGGCTTGTTATAAGAAATATAAAATAATACACGAATAAATTTTAATCTGGATGTGTGCTCTTTAGCTGAATGACTTTAACAGTCAGCGTTAAATAGTTCGTGACAACCAGTGGCTAAAAAGTTGACAACACAACCTTATTCCAATAGGCTAGTTTCCTAAAAAAAATTTTTTAGTCCGTCATATATCAAAAAATATTGGACACGTATATTTTTATTCGTCATTCTAACAAATAATTACATAGTTATGGTGCGTTGAAGCTCCGCACGACGTCACAACGTGCGGCACTTTTATGCACGCATTGACATCACGGGCCTCTTCTTATGAACTTTGGCGCGCTTTATCTCTTTAAATTTTCATTAGTTTGAAAAAGTGAAAAATACGTGTAGAGTATTTTTTGATAAGTTAACTGACGGACTAATTAAAACTCTTGCTTTTTGACCCAGGCAACATCCCCATTGTACAATTATTTATACCCCTAAAATATAAAAGATCCAAAAATATCTAATAAAGAAATTTACATCAAGTTTTTTCAGAGAAGAGTAAGTAAGTCTTATGAAAAATGTTTTTCTCAGCCCAATTCTCAGGTGGCCTACCTCGTCTGATAACGTAATCCCCTTTTTTCTGGATTCGATCAAAGGTTCAATAATAACTTAATAACGACTGCACTGATATAGGAATAGAGGTAGATTTTCTGGAGTTCTTTCTTGTGGTTTTTACTGAATTACAAATCACATAAATTATAGTTTGACGTACTTAGTACCTACTTAATATTTCGCTTGAAAATTATGATAAATAAATTAAGTCAAGTAATACTTACCAGTGGTTTATATTAGTAAGTATCTATGAGAGAGATCTATCATTGTGTAAATAAGATACCTATCTATACTTACCGCTGAGTCACAATAAATATTTGAATAGGACGTGGCAATCATGGAAAATTTTGCCGACGGATCTGTTGATTTATCTTATTTAATCTAGTTCAAGCTTTAGGTATTGTACAGTAATAATTTTCTAGAAACTGTCTTAATTATAATTACTTACATAAATCTTATTTATTTCAAGAATTAATTAACTAATTACATTTGTATATTCTTTATTTATTCATATTAGTCAATCATAAAATCCGATGAAAATGAAATGAATGAGCAATTCCAAATCAAACTACTCTAGAATTAAATTTAATAATGGACTCATCAAAAGATTGAGAAATAATTCAGTATATAATTACGTCTTTTGATCGATATCTTTAATGTAAC